ACTGCCTGGGGAGAGAGCTGGGTGAAGGTAGGCAAAAGGAGAAAAAGTGGAGACAACTGTAAGAGCACAAACAAAAAAAGCAATTAAAAATTACATGAAAACTGTATTAAAGCATGAAATGAAACTGCCAATATGTTATGCCCTTTGTTTTCTATTGCTGATAGCTTTTTAGTAGATTCTTTTATTGGTTCATAGGTAGTGAAAGTATCCAAGTATATCTGAATTATACCATAAGTGTATTTTCTAGCTCCACTCACAAGTTCTCGTGAGTCAGATGTTGTATGGCAACAACAATACATAACAATTGTAATAGGATATGCCCAAAAAAGATCAAATCACTGATTCACTGCATTTAAGTAATTTTGCCAAACAATTCTATGATCTTAAGCTCCACTATACACTCATACCTAAAATCATTTATTTAAAAAAGTCAGATAGTAAACTTGCTGCAAACATGATTAATATACAAAAGTCAGGCAGTGAGAGAAATTTTTAAAAATGTGGTAAACATTCATCTACAACAATTTATTTATAACAATCTTATATGTCTATATATCCTATATTTAAAAAGAAATTTACATATACATTATATAGACATTTAACATACATATATACACTACGCAGTACATGACCTAACAAGAAAGATGCAAAACCTATATAAATAAAGAACTTAAAAATTATCCAGGAATATAAAAGATCTAAGAAAGTAACTACCATACATACCCTGTATTACTGTATGGGAGTTTTCATTATTGTAAAATGTCATTTTTCCCCCAAATTAATCTCTACTTGTAAGGCATTTCTAATGAAAATACCAGCAGAAATTTTTGGGAAATTTGACAAGTATATTAAAAAATTTGATTTGGAAGGAAAAATGCATAAAATTACCTAAAAAAAAAAAACAGAGGCTGCAATATAAGACTATTGAAGGGGCACTTGCCTTTCCAGACATTAAACTATATTATTTAGCTAAATTAATTAAAATAACTCTATACTGGTGAAAGATTAAAGAAAGACTGGTAAATTCATATAAGACATAAAATTAAACTTCTACATGGTAGTCTGAAAATCCAAAGGACAAATGAGAATCTGGGAAGATATTTACAACATAAGACAAAAGGTTAATATCCTCAGAATATAAAAAGCTCATAACCAATATTTTTAAAGACAAAAATCTCAACATTAAAGAAAAGAATATAAACATAAAATTGAATCTGTTAAACATATGAAAGATATTTATCCTCACTAAGCAAAGTAAATTTGAGCAATAAAAATTTTTCTTCTACTAGACTGGAAAAGACTAAAAACAATTATAGTCAACAATACTGTAATAACTATGTATGGTGCTAAGAAATACATAGTGCCAGGATAGTACTATGTACTACTGCTTGGGAAATAGCAAGGAAACACTTTGTAAAGTATATGACTGTCTAATCACTATGTTATACAGTGAAACTAATACAAAATACTTCTGAATGTAAGCTGTAATTGAAAAAACAAAAAACACTTTAAAAGAATGACAAACACAATATTAGCAAAACAGTGAAGTGGAGAAATGGACACTTGTGTATAATGATAGTGGAAACGTAAATTGTTGCAGCTTTTAGAAGGCAATTTAGGAGTATGTACTAAAATATTAAACATACATATCCTTTGATCCCATAATCTTACATGTTGAAACCTATAGAAAAACATGCAGAAGTCTGTAAAGGTGCATGTGTATAATGTTCAATTATACCATATTTAATATCAAATGTTCACTATCACCATATTTAATATCAAAAAAGGAAACAACCTATGTAATATCAAAAAGTGAATGGCTAAGACAAATAGTGGAATAGAATGTGACTCATAAATAAGATAGCTCTATGTGTACTGACTTAAAAAATATCTGACAGGTCTTCTGGCCAAGATGTTTTGCTTCCTTGCAAAACCAAAAGAAAGATAAGAACCAATTTTAAAAAAATTTAAAAACAAAAGACAACCCAAACTCCCAGAAAATCAAACTGTATGAAAGTCTGACAACCAAAGAGTTAAAGAAGAAACATTCATCTAAACTGGTAGGAGGGGTGGAGATGGGAACCCTGGGCACAGGGGACACATGACAAGGTGGCAGCTGGCAGAGCAGGTGGCCCCACATTTGTGTGCAGATAAGCTGGGAGGAACAACTAGGGAGTGAGACACCATACAACCCAGGATTCCACCATGGGAAATTAAAGCCTCAAAACCTCTGGCTGTAAAAAATCTGTGGGGGTTGCTGCAGCAGGAGAAACGCCCAGCCTCACGGGAGAGTCTGCTGGAGGAGCTCACAGGATCCCAGACCGCACACAAGCCCACCCACCTGGGAATCTGAAAGGGCACAATACACTTGTGGGAAGTAACTGAAAGCGGGCAAGAGCTGAACAAGTGGTACTGTTCCATCTCGGACCCCTCCCCCACAGACAGTGCCATGACACAGCCAAGTGGGTTGTGAATACCCCACACTAGTGAATACCTAAGGCTCTGCCTCTTACAACATAAACTGTGCCCTGAAACAAAGAAATATGGCCCAAGTGAAAGAACAGATCAAAACTCCAGAAAAAAAACTACGTGATGAGGGGATAGCCAACCTATCAGATGCAGAATAAAAAACTCTGGTATTCAGGATGCTCACAGAAATGGTTGAGTTTGGTCTCAAAATAAAGGAAGAAGTGAAAGCTATACAAAGTGAAACAAAGAAAAATATACAGGGAACCAACAATGAAGGGAAGGAAACTTGGACTCAAATCAATGATTTGGAATAAAAGGAAGAAATAAACATCCAAACAGAATAGAATGAAGAAACAAGAATTGAAAAAAATGAGGAGAGGCTTAGGAAACTTTGGGCCAACTTCCGAATCATAGGGGTGCCAAAAGAGGAACATCAAGAAAATGGAAACTTATTTGAACAAATAATGAGGGAAAACTTCCCCAATCTGGTAAAGGAATGAGACATACAATTCCAGGGAGCTCAGAGTGCCAAAGAAACTGGGCCCAAATGGGAACATGCCAAGACACATCATAATTAAATTACCCAAGATTAAAGACAAGGACAGAAACTTAAAAGCAGGAAGAGAACAGGAGACAGTTAGTTACAAAGGAGTTCCCATCAGACTGTCAGCTGATTTCTCAAAAGAGACCTTACAGGCAAGAAGGGGCTGGAAAGAAGTATTCCAAGTCATGAAAGGCAAAGACCTACATCCAAAATTACTCTATACAGCAAAGCTATCATTTAGAATGGAAGGGCAGATAAAGTGCTTCCTAGATAAGGTCAAGTTAAAGGAACTCATTATCACCAAGCCCTTATTATGTGAAATGTTAAAGGGATTTATTTAAGAAAAAGAAGAAGAAGATCAAAAGTATGAACAGTAAAATGACAATAAACTTACAATGATCGACAACTGAACCTAATAAAAAAACAAAAACTAGAACAGGAACAGAATCACAGAAGTGGAGACCACATGGAGGGTTATCAGCGGAGAAGAGGCTAGGGGAGAATGGGGAAAAAGGTACAGGGAATAAGAAGCATAATTGGTGGGTACAAAATAGACAGGGGGAGGTTAAGAATAGTACAGGAAATGGAGAAGCCAATGGACTTCTATGTACAACCCATGGACATGAACTAAGGGGGGCAATGCTGGAAGGACAGGGATAAAGGGGAGAAAAATATGAGACAACAGTAATAGCATAATCAATAAAATATACTTTAAAAACATATCTAATAGTATACCGTACTATGCATTACTGTTAATTTTTAAAAAGAAAAGAATTTGAAAAACAGTGTGCAAATATGATCTCATATTTGTATATGTAAAGAAAAGCACCTAAAAGTTCACAGATTCAATCATTTTATATCCTTTTGCAATAACTGCAGTTATTTTATAATAAATGAATATAATACAAATAAATGTGACACAAAAAACAAACATTTTACAGTAAATACATATTCTATTTTTGGTGTTATAAAGTGTAAGTCTGGGGGAAAGACCTCATGTTTCTAAGATGAAATTCGGCGTCCCACTGGACTTTTTTTCCAAACAGGGCTTATTTCTTTCTTCTAAAAAATAAATGGCTATTAAAAATTTAGCTATGAAATATCCTTTTTAAGTTTTGAAAATGCACTTATTTTTCAAGTATTTGTTGGGTGAGTTAGGCTCTGAGGATATAAAAATGAATGAGTTATCATCTCTGCATTGAAGAGACCCAAATATACTGAGACAGACTATTACACAAATAAATACAATAAAGTGCTGAAATTAAAGCTACTGCAATGTACTATAGGTAGGGATAAAAATGAAAAAGTCATTCTAATTGAGAGAAAACATATCAGAAGAGAGTTAAGCTTATGCTTGAGTTAAATCTTAAAAATGTTGTGTTGGCCAAATGGACAACAGAGAGGGAGTAAATGAAATGTTATGTATATAAGCATTCTTACACTTAAGCAAAATATTTCTGGGTAGAGCACTGAAGATAAAACAATCAGATATTTAAATGCCAAATGTCAAACCAAAATAATATAAATCCATATACATGAAAACAAAGTTATAATTAATTCTTCCAACATTCACCTAATATAATTTTGTATTCTATGCTAGCTGAAAATGACTTTAAGTTCTGGTTAATTCCTACAAATTTTCTTTTCTAAAAAATTTCTACAAAAATGTTTTTTAAATGAGAAAACACTTAAAATCCCTTTTGATATATTAATTAAAAAAACAAACTGTCTTGTAAAGGCAAAGACTTTATGCCTTCACTGTTTAATTTTTTTAAGCCATCCTACACTGTAGTTCCAAAGTTCAACATAAAAATACCCTAACACAATACATATGGTCTATTTTCATAAAAGACTTATATTCTGTGAAGACCTAAATGTTTTTAATACTGCTTTCAGAGAGTATATCTCCTCTGATGCAAATGCTAACCAAACTTTTCTCCTAGGAACACAACATGCCACATAACAGAGAAAAACATGGTCTTTTTACCTCGTGAAGTGTGAGATGTTTCCCATCCTTTCTCTTTGAGTCAAACCTGCCATATATTGCACTGTATTTTCGAATTTCCTCCTCTTTGTGTGGATCATCATCACTCATCTCAAAGATGTGACCAATCATTTTGGCCAACTTCTTGTTGGTTTTTAGCAGCTCCTTCACTTCATTCAAGTCACTTTTTGGTAGTGTAGAGGCCATTCGCTCCACACACTCGGCTACAGAGAGCGCGGCTGCAGCATCCAGTGCCTCACTGGTTTCTTTAGGGGAAGCTGGGGAGCCAAGATCTGCTGGGGAGAGGCTGTGCTCGCTCTCAGTGGCATGGTGGCCTTGCCAGAGTCTGGACTCGCCAACACCCTGCAGTGCTAAGCTCCCCATATCTGATTTCCCCTGTCCCAAGCTCTGCACACAGGTGATGGCAGCACACTTGGGGACTTTTACATGAGGTTCCCGGGCATTGCTATTCCTTTCATAACTGTTACAGGATATTCCCAGCCACGTTGGTGATCCCTCTGGTAACTTATAGATGGGTATGCTACTAACAGGCAGGGAAGTCAGTGGCTGATTGAAAAGGCCAGGGTTTGTAACCCAGTCTCTCAACGCCTTCTGCAGCCTTCTAACATGAAGGGGCTTGCTAGCCATGCCCACAAGGGCCATGATTTCCAAGAATTCCTCTTCTCCAGCTTCACAGAGTTGCTGGACATCATCACCACCTTGTTGGATAAAGGCATCAAAATAAGAGAGCAGATTGGCTTTTTGTAATATTCTATACAGCTGCAACTCCCCCAGGGTCCTGGGTAAGGCCGCAGCCATTACTGTGGATGTGTTTAACCTGCAAAAAAAAGAGAGGAAATACTCATCACACTTGCTCCAAACTTCTTAAACTCAGTATTTGTTAGACAGTACAGAATTTAAGAACACAGTATGGGCCCCGAAGGGTGTGGCTTAGTTGGTTAAGTGTCCTTCTGCTAAGCGAGGGGTTGCTGGTTGATTCCCAGTCAGGGAACATGCCCGGATTACGGTTTGGTCCTCAGTGGGGGCGTGTGCAAGAGGCAACCAATAGATGTTTCTCTCTCACATTGATGTTTCTCTCCCTTTCTCCCTCCCTTCCCCTCTCTCTAAAAATAATAAATAAAATCTTTTTTTAAAAAAAGGTTGAAGTATGGGAAGGACAGAAACCAGAAGCATTTGCATAGCAACTGACTGTTAAGGAAGCATGCTCTCTGAACACAAATATCTCATTTTTCTCTCCTAACAATCCCAATGGTCAGTATAATTGTTTCCATTTTAAAGAGAAAAATATAAAGGCTCCAAGATAAGAAGTAATTTGCCTGAGATCTCACAACTAGTTAAGCAGAAGTCTAGGGACTCAAACCAAGGCTCATAGGGCTTTATGGCCGATATTTTTTACTATTCTTTGCTGCTTCTATGGTGTGGACACAGAGGTGAAGTGAAGGATAATCAAATTCAGAAGGAGGTAAGAAGGATATTATTACACCATTCGTTGAATACTTATTTTGTGCCAGATAATATGATAAACACTTTATCTTACATTATGTCTAATCCTCATCACAGCCCTGCAAGATAGATATAGCTATTCCCTTTCTATAAAGAAAAAATAACAACATTAAGTCTGACAGGCAAAGGAAGATAGTTTTCAGTATGAATCGGAGGTGAGAAGATAGAAGGTAGTGTATTAGGAAACAAGAGAAAAAGAGGCAGGAAAAATTCAAACAAATAAATGACAAGACTTGGTGATCATTTAGGTATAAGTGATGAAGGAGAGTAAACGGTTACACTTCCTACAGTCCCAGGAACAAAAGAGTAACATGAGGATTGGAATACACATGTGAGAGTCTACAACTGTGACAGGCATTGGGGATACAGAAAAATCAGGATGGATTCCCTTTCAAATACATTGTACTTTATGGCACATGGCACAGGACTGGAGTCCAAGGGTGTAAGGGTTAGAGATACAGGATGAAACGAAGGCCGGTGAGTAAACCGTCCAAAGAAGCAACAGAGAGCCTAAGATAGAGCCACGAAGAAACATTTTAGAGCCCAAGCAAGACAGAGGAGCCTGCCTTCAACGAGAAAGAACAAGACCTAGCAAAGTATGTCTTGACCTCTTAGTAGCCTTTAAAAGTTATTCAGTTGCCTGGAGACCTCCCACATACAAGGAGTTGGCCAAGTTCTTCCATTTAAGAGAAACAAACGTGTAATAATGCACCCTTTTAGGATTAAAAGGACCCTGTAGTCCTCTATAGAGAAAATTACAGAAGGCCAAAAAATGCATACATCAGAGGAGAACGGAAGCTCCACTCTCAATTCAAAATAGTATGGAGCAATCATTAAGTGGAAGATAAGGCAAGCAGGGGAATATAAGGAACATCCCTGAAGGCCAGGAAGAGACCAAATGTGGACTTCTGCTTTATGCCATCAATCAGAATGCTACCCAAAATTCTAGTCTGAGTCATCCTATCCAAGGAGAATGCATCTCTTTACCACCCTAAGGAGTGATTCCTGGGAAGCCCCATCTCCTGGAACCTGTGGGTTAACTACCATCTTCTTTGATGAACTAGTGACTCCCTTAAATCTTCAGACATTTTATTCTAAAAAGTCTGTATCACCAGGTGAACTGATGCCTTTCCAAGAGACATAAAATAAATTGAATTGGGCCCCAGTAGATTCTACAAACACCCAGGAAATCACCTGGGGTGCTTTCGAAAGAACACTTCCAGGTTTCTGAGCTGCATCTCACAAGGCTCCCATGATTTAGCAAATTTGGGAAACCATACTAGAAGATTCCTATTTAGTACCACAAACCCCTATATGTTCTGTGATCATCTAGGTTAAGTCCACCTTCATGTTCGTATCACCTCAGTCCTGTAGACAAAAAGACTCTTGCATCTTCTAAACTGCCCACACGAGACTCCAGTGAGAAAGTGTATCATCCAGCTGGAAATTACCCCACAAAAACACAGCTCTCAAGATTTACAGACACAAGTTAAATTTTGTTTTTCTCCATTACACCAAAGAGAAAGGCTTCTAGAAAGTGTTTAAAGTTAAGAAACTTACTTTCCCATCACACATCTAATGCTGTAGCTCCACAGGCTACAAACTCAAGAGCATATAAAAAAATAACATATACACACCTATGTACACACACACCCACACACACAATCTTTTTTATCAGAGGACTGTAACTATGCAAGGTGCATGCTATCATCAATTCTCTCATCATATGTACTCCCCCAAATTATGAAATAGAGAATAAACTATATGAAAAAAATAAGAATGTAACTAGATGAATAGAATTTTTTAATCTTTTTATAAGCAATAAGAAAAAATACATAGTAGATAAACTTTTAAAAAACTTAAAAGGGGAACTGAAGACCCAAACTTTGGTTTTATTCTTCTGAGATAAGGCAATGATTTTTAAAGATATTCATTTTCAACTGTTTATCCTTTCTCATCTTTACCCATAAAGGAACCCCACCTAGTAAGCGCTCATGTGCTGGTGAGAAAGAAGTAGTTGTGATTATAGTATCTCTGTAAGGACTGACAGGACCAAGTATACATTTCCAAAGTCAAGACAGAGTCCCGGGAGACTTTCTAAAGGCCCACTGTTACCATGTGTTTCCTACAGAAGCATGTTGTGATCATTTAAACACCCACCACTTCATATATTAACTGGATTTAAAAGAAAATATTTTATAAAATGAGGTTTTGTTTTTACAAACTCTAATCATGCTTCAACATGAAGGTCAGATCAAGAGAGAGCTTTCATTTTAGCTGCACCTCTCCATCTGGAGTAAATATAAAAGAATCCTAGCACATTACACACGTAGCTATAATAGTACAGTAAATCTACTTGGCTATTCCATGACTCCTCATATGTAATACTTAGCAAAGTCTTTACCAGTGTTTTAAGTGGCTGCTTCCTTGTGTCTCCTCCCTCTTAAGGGATTCGCCATGAAGGACCATCCTTCCTCTGTATTCCCAGGACTGGCTCAGTAACTGGCATATTTGAATAAGTGAAAAATAAAATGAGAGGGAGAGAGAGAACATATTGTGGGGTTCAGAGAAGGCAGAGTACACCTATGGCCAGGCGCATGGAATAGGTTTTTTTTGAAAAAAGCCATGCAGATATGAGGGTGGAAGGATGTCTGAGATGGGGTCAGGGATGCAGCAGGCATCTTTGAGGAACGCCAGCGTATCTGTTTGATAGGAGCATAGGGGCATGATAGGGACTAGAGAGAAAGGTGGAAAGGCAGGTGTGAGACTGGGATGCCTATCTATGCTCTGGAGGAATTTGCACACGTGATTAAAGAGCCACATCTGTACTTAAGGAAATTAAAGTTGGCTCTGCAGAGAGGGATGCATTGTAGGTCAGGAAGTTGTTTTTTCAAAGTTGGGACAAGAAGCAGTGAAAACTAGAATTAGGTGCTTTTAGGCAGAGAAAGAAAAAGGGTTGTAATGTGACTTAAGAACATGTAGATTTGAGGAAAGAAGAGCAAAACACAAAGATGGAATCCCTACTTTTATTAATCCAAGAAACTGGGAGAGCAATGGTGCAACTAAAAGAAATAAGTTGGGAAGAATAATTTGGGAATCTGGAAGAAGGAAATCAGATAAACTTAAGTTGCTTTTGGACTTATCAATTTTGAGATTTTGATAATCCCCAGGTGGTACAACATGCTGAATTATCATAAAAATGATTTGGGCTAACAGTTCTCAAACTTTTCATGTATGAAGATCACTTTAAATTTAAAAATTACAAATATTCATTGATAGTTTCACTTTTACTATTTGTTGATTGAGAATACATATGACAACTAGTACTATGAATCTGGTTACACTTTAAAATGAGTTTATATTTCCTTAAGTCATAAAGTATGAATTTATTTACTTTTCACTTGCTAAATGGACATGTTGAGAGGCATCTTACTTCAGAGCCAGTGCTTGGTGTGCTTCTGAATTTCAGAACACTTTGAGTAACTCATGGCCCCTGACCCCTGAACTACTGATCCAAGCTACATTTAGCAATTTGGAAGTTAAGTCTGAAAGGGGTGAGAGTTGAAGCTTGGGAGTGGATGCTATCATCGAGGGAGAATATAGAAAGACAGTAGAAAAGAGATTTAATTTAAAATTTTGAAATTAAAGGTTTGCAAAAAATTGCAAAGGGAAGATAGGTGAAAAGCATTTCAAGGATGTCAAGCTGCGGAGAGATTAGAGAGAGAGGCGGGTGATAAGTCAGTAGTTATTCAAGAGTTTTGAGAGCGCTGTGGGGCCACACTGCAGGCTGAAACTTGGAACAGACTGAGGCAGGACTGAAGGAACAGTTCTTTTCCCTAGACACCACTGAGGGCCTCCGTCCTCACATCCCAGCCTGGGCAATGTCAGGGAGGTTTTGTTTCCCACAGCCATATTAAGTGCTTCCCTGTGGTTCAAGGTCTATGCAGGAGTTATTGTTAGGTTATAAACTCCCTGAGGGTAGGGATTGGGTCTCATTCATCTTTTATCCCCCTCTGTTTCTACCATAGTGTTCAATGACATTTCTATAAAGGTAGTTCTCATATAAAACTCAACATCTGAGTCAGAATCTGATCAACAGCCTCCTTTCATATTCCAAAAGGGATGCCTTCCTTTGGTGTTCCAGTGCATTAACAATTTAATAACAGCATATCCTGCTATTTTACCTACAATCCTCTTCATTCGCTCAACCTCATTACTTCGTCTTTCTTACAAGGCTATGTGGTGAGTTCCCATAACAGATATTTTTCCAATAATCAAAGGATGCTCTCCCAAATACAAGAACTACACATGAGAGTGTTATAATATACATCATGTGTTAGTCCAGCCCCAACCACTATTTTTAGAAGTTAAAATGCAGCATAAGCTATCCTCAAATAAAAAATATATTATAAATGATCATTTATAGTCAAGGGGACTCATAATCACTACTCTCAAATCCTCCTCCCCGTGTTGTTGGGAATATAAATATAGGTATTTCATATATCTATTCACACACTCACATACATACATAACACATGTATACACACTTAGGAAATCAATGGCATTCCAAAGAGACACTCTTCCAGGAGTAGGGAGAAACATGGGGTAAAAATTCTGATAAGACCTGGCTTACACAGAAAAATATAAATCCTTTCCTCCCAACACAGCCTGAAATTTTTACAGTAAAATATCTAGTTAACAGCAACTTACAGACTTATTAAAAATGAGAAAAAACTTGGGAAGAGTTAGCTTATGAGTCATTTACATATTAAGGTGAATTAGTTCCACCAGACTGTTTTCTTCTTCACATCTAGATGAGATCCGGTGCACACTAATGGAATGAAAAGACAGATGGAAAATAGCAAGGAAGGAAATAGGAAATCTGAGGGCACTGACTATATTTAAGCCTCTCAAGTACCACCAGGTTTGGAAGAGGGCAGCTTAAAGGCCTTGGGAGAAGGGTGTAATGGTTGTTCAACCTACACTTGAAGGTTGAAATTGAAAAGGTTTATAAAAAGAATTTGGCTTAGGGAGGAATGAGCCTTAAGCCTAGGAAATGAATTCTTCTCACTTGTGTCCTAGTCCTAAAGCTCAAGCTAAAATTAATCGTAAAACTACCAATTAATCGTAGTTCAGTTACATCATTGGTTACTTAAGATTGCAGGGTTGGCCTAGGTATTAAACTCCAGTGTTTGTGTTTCAAGTACCAAACGAGTTACCCAGGGGCATTTATATTAATAAGAATTCAGTGATATTAAGTCCAGATATTTTTGGACCTTATTAGCTCTGGCTGGGTAGCTCAGTTAGTTAGAGTGTTGCCTTGACAGGCCAAGGTTGCAGGTTCAATTCACTCAGAACACATGCAAGAATCTACCAATAAATGTGTAAATAAATAAAATAACAAATTAATGACACACTCTCTCTCTTCTTTCCTTTCTCTCTAAAACCAATAAAAAAATCTTTAAAAAATGTTTTTGGATCTTATTTCTGTCATAGCTATAAATAAACATTAGCTTCTAATGAATTAATGATAATTTGGGAAACTTAAAATAATTTCCTCTATTGATGATCCTTTTCTGAATTATGAATGACACTAGAAAAAATTCTTATGACTCCTTAAAATTTTAATGAAAGTGTAAGTTTAAATTTATCAAAATTAGAAAAAAGTAAATCAGATTTATCCTACAATTAAACAATAACTATACACTAATTTAACTCTAATACCGATAGGTAAAAACCAGAATTATTTAATATGGCTGGAAATTCTTCAATCAACCAACAGTCAAGTCATTCATCAAACATTATGTGCTCTCTGATCATGTAGTAAGCATGCAGTATATATAAATTTTATTGCTTTCAGAAATTTCTCTTTAAAAATTATAAAATTAACATACTGTGTAAATGAATGTGCAGCCCCCTAAATGTAATGTGTTGAGAAATGACAAACTAGTTGAAAACTTAATGGTTATTTTTTAGCTGTGAGAATTCTGACAATATGAGGATTACTATTTTTCCCCCAACATCAACTTCTCTAATTTCCCACTTGTTCCATCATTAAGCTTAACAGAGTACATTCAATTGTACTAGATACTGAACACATCAGAGCAGAAAAGAATTTTGCATTTAACATAATAACTGTACAGTTCTTCATTCTATTAAAATAGAATGAAAGAAGCAGGTAAGAGAAAATCCAAACAAAGGGGCTAGCAAACTTATATTATGCATGAATGATTAAGACTTATTCCTTAATATATTTAATAAACTACACAGTGAAATGTATGTACCCAAGTTTCTTATACATTGGTAAGATCTTAAACTGTGTAAAACATATACAATGGTCATTTCCACGAAAATAACAAAATATATTATGATTCTGTGGTATCCAGAATAGAGCCTCACAATTAAAGGTTTTATTTACAGAGATTTCATTTCTAATAATGTACACAAATAGCACCAAGAAAAACAATTAGACTTATTACAGTGGAACAGATGAGGCCTAAGTCTTAGGACAGAGTCTAGGTCAACAGACACAATACCCTTACATACTTCTATTTTCATCCAACCATCTTCTGCTTTAAATATTTAAAAGTTTATGCAATAAATTCTTCAAAGGTCTCCCTCACTTTGTAATACATGTAATTTCTTCTTTCAAAGAATCCACAGTGCAAACCCCAAAATCCTTAATAACAAACCAATATTATCTTAAAGTAAGATTAAAAGAAAATATCTAACACTTAAATGATTCTCTAAACAAGAATGAAAACCTATTAACTTCCCCATAGAGCAATTTACTAGCCACAAAAAAAAATTTTGTAATTAATTTAGCTGAGATTATTCAACTTTATTGATAATTCTAAAATACAAGGATGTATTTATTAAGTAAAGCAAGTTATTTATTAGACATATGCACTCACTACATTTCCTTATGTCAGTTATAATTTTCCTAAGGATTTTGTCATTTTAACCAGAAGGCAGAATGAAATAAAATAAAAAGCTACAATGCCTCACTGTGTTTATTATTCATATTCTTCTTATTATTAATGTCCACATGTAAAAGGAATTCACCAGAGTTAAAGACAACAAAAATTTTTGCACTACCAAGATGGCATATTAACTTTTGTGCAAGATACCAAAAATATTAAAATTTAAACAAGAAACATTCCAATGGTTCCTTGAAATTTTCTTTCAAGACCTTATTTTCCAGTATCTAACACCCAAAAAGGAATAAGGAAATGCTCTCCACGTTATCAGACATCTATAAATTCTCAAGAAAATCCTTATATGCATGTCAACACCTGAAGGACAACATAATTTTAAAAACTTGATGAAAGGACTTATTAAATATCAAATAATACGGAAAATGGAGGGAAAAGAATACCCTGGAACTTAAGAGCCACTTTATTGGCACTTAGATTAGATAAGATTAGAAGGAGCTTTTGAGTCAAGAAGCTATCAGCCTCCAACAAGTAAATGCCAAGCATCTTCTCTTCCAGTATTCCTCCTTAAAACCCACACATGTCATAATTTGCTATGTTTTACAGGGAGAAATTTTCAAGAAGTGAAAATCTAAGAAGGAAATTCGCTGCATGCACACTTTTCCAACAAAACAGCCTAGCATTTCCTACGTGACTAATCTATTTTAAATTCCGTTCTTCTGTTCCTATGCAATCTAATATTACCTATTAAAACTGCCAAAATATTTTAAAACAAGATCTGAGAATTTCCCTTTCAGCTTCTGATCTTTGCACTCCTTAAGTTTGCAAGTTTGCAGACACATCAGTAGCAAACCAACTGGTAGTGACAGGTTAACTCTTTCGAATGAAATTTTAAATTGACAGCTAGCCCCAAATTTTGTATTCTTCCAAGATCTCATGGAGCGGGAGATAAATATACGCAAGTCAGGGATTCCTCCAGATCGCCAGCTGCAAAACTTGGTCTGCGGATCCTATAAATGCATATTCCTACTCAAGTATCCTTTTCCCTAAGACCTTATTTAGGCTTACTTCAAGTATCCTTTCACATCTTAAGCTTTGTGAACCCTGGGGTTGCAAGCCATAAATATTGTAGAGCATTTGCAATGTTTCTCCATGAATAAGGTCACACATCTCTGCATCCAAGGCTTGTATGTCCCACGTGCGCTTGCAAATTCCACACTCTGCCTTAGAAAGCACAATGAGTGTCTCGCTTCTCTGCACCTCGATGCCAAGTTTCTGCAAGCCACTTCCAAGCAAAACTCTCCTTCCGCTTTTAAAAACTACTGTACATTCCATTCGGAGAGAGAGAGACGCTACCCAGGACGAAAATTAAGACTGCAAGTATAACACTTTTACAAAGTAAACAAACCAACAAAAAGATTCTGCCCCATGGCAAGGTACACGCGCGTACCTACCACGCAACCCCACCATTGCTCCACACGACGACCCCAGCCGGGTTAGAAAGGACTCGGCAACCCCGGCTTTCTTGCGGAGGGACCACACAAGTCAGGCCCGCTGCCTTGCTCGTCCTCTTCTCGCTGCCCCCGCGCACCGAATTTGTCCGGGAATTGCCCAAACGAGCCCGATAACACCCTCTCCTTCAGGCGGCGGCCGCGCTGGGCCCACTCCCCTGGACGTCCACCCCACTGTGCCCGCGTCGCCCCAAGTTCGCCCGCGGCTGCACGAACACAAACGCGTCCTGCAGCAGGCAGACAGGGAGTTGGTACGTACTCGGCCAGCGGTCTTGGCGCGCTCTCCCCCGAAGGCTGCTCAACCTCAACTCCGAAGTGACGGCCCCCGGCTCTCCCTCCACAGACTGCAGCGGCGGCCGGGACGCCCCCGCGCCCATCGAGGGGGGAAGGGAAGGTGGTGGGCACGCTCTCCTGCTCCCCCCCAGTTCCGACCCGCCGCTCTTCCCGCCCGCCAGCCCCGACGGCAGTCGCTCGGTCGCGGTAGCGGCGGCTGCAGCTCCCTGATTCCCGGGCGAGAGGGCGGAGGCGGCGGTGGCTCCCCCACCGCGGACTCCCTCTCCTCCCCTCCCCCGGCGCGCCGCACCGCCCCCTCCCCCGCCCGCCTCCGCCGCCTCCACCCCCCCCCCCGCGCGCTGTCACATGGGGAGATTCCGCTCTTGCTACATTCGCCGCTCCTGCTCCCACCCACGCGCGGCCGAGTGACGCAGATGCCGGCGTGGGCCGCCACGGGGCGGGGGCGGCGGGCGGCCGCCGGGGCCGGGCACGGCTTCTTCCCGCCTCCCTCTCCGCGGAATCCGGAGGGCGGCCCATTCACACGGCAGCTGGGAGGAACCAAGTGGGCGACCGGGAGGGGGCGGCTCCCGCGAGTAGGGCTCCAGGCGAAGGGAGGGTGAGGGGAAGGAGGGAAACGGGGGTGGCGTGGAGGGAGGGGACGCCGCGTCGGGCCTGCTTTCCAGCTGCCGAGTGAACTGGGAAGGTTTGCGATTAAAAAAAAAAAATTAATGTGTGAGGTTCCCAATATAGTATTTCAAAGAGCACACTTGGCCAAATTCTTCTCCCCTGGGAGACAGACTTTTAAAAAAATAGAGTTCTCGGCCCACTAATCTGGGCACAGGGTTCACCGCCATCCTCGCCCCCGGAGTCGGGAGGCTGGTGGGCCAGGTGCGCCCCATGCCCAGACTGCCGGCGGGAAATTGGCTAGGGTGGGGGCGGCAGGTGCGCGGAGCTGGGTGGAAAACTGGCGGTTCAAAGAGAATCTGTCTCGTCCATCTTGCCCTCTCCCCACCACTGCCCTGGCTTTGCGAGTGGGGGTGGAGGGGAGGAATGAGAACCCACAAACCCGAAGTGCAGCAATGACAAGTGTCCTGCTTGTTGGTAACTTAATCCCAACCATATGAACTCTCCCGAAAACCTGCCAGTTATTTAGCTGGTAAGTATTTTCTATTTTCATTGTGTAGAAATTCGAGAGCGCTAGAACAGTTCTGGGGTGTGTTACAATAGCGTTCCTAAGGCACGCTAGAGAATTTTTTAGTTTGGCTTGCGTGAACTTTGCTAACCAAAGAAAGTATTAAAACACCTCCAAAAATGTACTTACACAATTGCCAAAAAAATTGGAAATTTGTTACAGAATTTATTTTTACTTTCTTTGAAAAATTGGGAAAATGAAAGAATTCCCCTAATTTTAGCACTGAGTTCTTGAAAGAGAGCGTTTAGTAAATATGAAAATAGTGCAAGTACAGGTAGAATCCCGTTTTGGCGTACATATAAAAATCCACTTTTATAGGAGGCCATGCCCACATCCTGGCTGGCCTCCCAGAGTATGCCTACTTTCCTGATGGGGATACAAGGCACTCTTTGAGATGGGAAATTCCTCATACCACATCTTTATGTTGGCGCAATGGATGGGATGATAACATTGAAAGAAAAAGACCTTATTAAAGTACTGAACCTTTTTCTTTTCTTTCTGCGAAAACATGTTATAGAAATGAGCGATGGCACAATGGAGTATATAATCAATATAATTAAACATTTCTCCAGTGTTTGTAAAAGATTTTGTCTGAGGTAGTTGTGTTGATATTGCAAATGAATAAGCACATTTGCTTCCTCTAATTCTTCAGCTGAAAAAATCACTACTTGAAGTTTCTCCCAACCTAACTGTCACGATTTTATAGCTGCGGACCTTGTTCTGCTAAAGAGTTACCTTAGGTTGCTATTAAATAAAAACAATTTCTTGAGAAGATATAGGTCAGTAAATTTTCAGGCAGTGGAATCTGCAAAATTCTTCTCTTCCAGTTCTCTGGAATCCTGATGTTTTGCAAACATTGTTGGTTCTGAACAGCTAGAGAAAAATAACTTCCTTCCACAAAAAATATACAATTAGTGATTCACAAGTCATGAAATGAATAGTTTTACATGGACTAATTGAACCTCCCATTAGAACTGTTTCCAGAGTTGGGAGAAATAACATTAAGTCCTCTTCCTGAGTGGTGTAGTCTGTTCAGTACTGAACATGAGGCTGAAAAGGAAATGTATCAGGGCAGATACCCTTTCTTCTGCCTTGCAACTGGTTATTTCTACAGTTAAACAAGGAAATCTCTCTTCATTTTCTAGGCACGTGTAGATAGTATATTTTTCCCACACTAACAATGGCATTTTTGGCCCACTTTGCATTGCCTTCATTGCCCTTTTATAGTGAGGCAGGTGGTAGGAGAAAGGAAAATGAAGATAAAATGTTAAGCTTTTAGGCATCCAATTCTGTATTATATATCACAACACTTTAGTCCATGTGGCTGCTCAGAAGGAGAACTGAGGCATTCACCTATGTCTGAGACAACTCATATTCCTGTTTATCTCCTCACCACTTTTGTCACCCATTCCACCAGTACACACCACCTCCCCTTTGACAGTCATCCCATCCTAAACACTGCTTCCAATCCTCCAACACACACACCCACATGATCTTCTCTCTCTACCAGGCCCTAGTGGTTTGCAGAGGAAAAGCATTCTGTCTGTAAGAACAATGATGGTGTCTATTCCGTATTTCATTCCATCCTGTAAGTATCTTTTATACTTAAAATTCTCTTGAATTCAATAAATATATGTTTTCTTAAAAGTATTTTTAAATGCATTGTTAAAAATACTTCAATTATTAGTGCATTTGCAAAAATAAAAAATTCTTTAGATTAAAAAAAATGTTTCCACATTGTGGAACTAAAAAAATTTTAGTAAAAAAATGTACAACATTAGTAGTGGTTCTGGCATTAGAGTGAAAATTTCACTGAAAGAGCATTAATTTTTACTTTCAGAAAGACTTCTTACTTTAAAATGCTTCAGTGATTGAAACAAAAAGAACTCATAATAGATTTAAAATGTTCTTAGAGGAGAGAAAGAATAATATGGTTTATGACCTACAATATCTAAGACAATATAATTCTATTTTCCTGTTCTGTTATTACCTCAGAACAATTCTATGTTTAATGAATTTTCTGCTATATGTGGTGGTAACCCTACAATTAATTGAGTCATATACAATATTCATATTACCAGAAATATAATTTAATATAAACAACTATATATGTATGGTATAATTATATATTATATATTTATATATAATATAGTTGTATATATACAGCTATGTATGTTTATATTTTATATTTAAATATATAAAATATATCTATATACTTACTATGAATTAAATATAATTAAATATAAAATTCATATTGCACATTTTGCAATATGAAATTTAAAACTTTAAATGTGTATTATAGATTAAATATAGTTTAATATGTGGATATTTGAATATTTTTAAATATATGGAAATTATAAACAACTTTCTTAAAGGTAAAATAAATAGGAATATATATGATAAATTATCAGTTCAAGAGCCATGACTTTAAAAATACCTGCTTTCCTAAAAAATAAGAAAATCTTTATGCATTGCTTTTTGTTACAAGATACTATAGAATTTTTAAGATATAATGATTATGAAGTTCACCTAGTTCAACCTCCTTTGTACATTCAAAATATATTTAGATACTTTGCAGAAATTCCACATATTACAACAAGTTTAGTTTACAATAGTTTACTTATAAGTTGGTTACTTTGAACTTCTAATTATCAGTCCCAGCTGGAAAAAGAAATGGGATCATTAGATCCCTGGAATGGGCTTCAAGTTCCTATAAAATGCAAGTGAGAAGATAGTATTATAGACTTTGGGGGGACTAGGTAAGATACTAGAAGTCACCTAATCCTATTGGCTCCTACAGATAAGTAAATCTATACCATACACTGCTAATATAAAGAGCAGAAAATAATGTAATATTAGGCAGTAAATACAACCAAATATTTAATTGAATGAAGAGTAATTTGGGGTTTATTTTTAAAAGCTATGTTTAAGACTGGGATGTAAACGGAAACTTTTGAAAGACTTTCTAAAGAGAATTTCCAGACATATTTTTAGGATTAGAGCCTTGTTTTTCTTCCTCCTCAATTCCTTCCCTCTGGCAATCGTGGTTACAGTTCATCTGCTCTTTCTCTGCTCTTCCCCTTTCTCTGGCACCTGCTGTGCAGGATTTGTATAATGAACTGTTCTGTAACACTTTCAGGTCTCAGCAACACTGATTATTGTCCATTCACCCTTGGCCTTTAGGGACTGGATGTTTGCATCCCTCCAAAATTCTTATGTTGAAATCCATCTGTCTTTGGGAAATGATTAGGTCGTGAGGGTGAAGCCCTAATGAGTGGGATTAGTGCCCCTACAAAAGAGACCCCAGAGAGCTCTCTTGCCCCTTTAAACATGTGAGGACATGAGGACACAGTGAGAAGATGGCCATCCATGAACCAGGAAGCAGCCTCTCACCAGACACTGAACCATCTGCTGGTGCCTTGACCTTGGACTTCTGAGGTTCCAGACGGAGAGAAATAAATGTTTGTTGTTAAGGCATCCAGTGTATCATATTTTGTTATAGCAGCTTGAATGTACTAAGACAATGGCCATTTATAATTCTTAGCCAGCTAAACAGGCAGATTGGAGAGTAGTTACAAAAAAAAAACCCCAACTCTGCTCCCAGTCTCTGGAATTTATCCAAACCATTTTCCATTCGCAGACTTAATTCTTAGCTTTCTTGCTCCTCACGACCCCTCGATTAGCTTTTGCTCTTTTATTACACCCAATTCACTGAGAATGATAGCAAGTCTGTGCTTACTCTCCTTCTTGTCTCAGGGTTTCTCCTTCTCTAGATCTACACTCTGCAGGCAGAAACCCACCAGCTAGAGTACCCCTTTTAAGCATTCCACATGAGGGTGTTTGTTTCCTTGACAAAGATGTATGATCTGTCAGCCAAGCTGTGGGGCTTTTTCTAGCTCTTAAAAGGAGCCAGGAACTGGGAGGAAAGCATGGAAAGAAGACAGCCTTTCTTGAAGTAAATGGACAAGAGGTGGAAGAAAGTAGAGAGCAAAGGATGAAAATAACTGTACTTGTGAGAAGCTGATGACAATGGACATAATAATTCTGGTAGA